CCAAAGGGGTAGGAGGAATTAACTTTCAATTTCCTCAGTGGGAGTGGTATGGGTGTTTTCTGGAATGACCCAATATAACAGTATTTTTTTTCAAATCTAATCAAACTGTCAAATTGTCAATCCTTGTACATGGGGAGGGGAAAATTTGGAGAAAGAAAAATTGTGACCGATCAGGTTGGGGGCCACCTGTAGGCCTGGCCATAGGCGTACAGGGCGGGGCCCAATTGTTGTGCAGACTAGGCCAGTCGGGCAATATTTGCTTCAATGCAGTTGGGCAATATTGGCTTATTATAAAAATAAATAGAAGAAATTATTCCCTCAATATTGGGGGAAATATGCTATATAATGGTCGAAAATTTAGTTCATTTTGATTAATAGTCATTTAATATATGTGTTATAGACCTTATTCGTAAATCGTGATGAGGCCTCGCATCCTAGGAAACGGGGAAAAACGCGGGAAAATTGACAAAATGTTTTTTTCGCTTTCGGCTATGGCAGCTTTTTATCGTGAATATTACGGCTTTTTTCGAAAATAATATCCATAAAACTGATCTTGAAAGTTGAAAAAAATACTTCGGAGAAAATATACCATGATATTTAAAGGAAAAGATGCTGGAGTCAGTCGAAAAAGGAAACCTTTGACCCTGTATTATTGCCAAGTTTGTATGGGCAAAACAAACAACCAACAAGGCTACAAAATGTCTATACCACACGAAAATCGTAAGAAATCTGAAACTATTGTTGAAGAAATAGGATTACAACTCACTCAGGTAATGTAGCCTTCATTTTTTAAACTTGTTAGCTGCTTGCAGAATATCGAGCTACAGCCATAGTTCATATTTTTCCGTACGAATAAATAACATTTGACGTTCTCTTGTAATCTTTTCACTGCTGTTTTCTTTCCTATTAATGTCAATTTCGAAAAATTATACTTTCATTCCATAGTTGTCTTGATTCGTCACGGAATAACCTTTATATTGACGTTATAATCTCAGTAAAATTACTGTTTTTTGCTTCTGGATAAACACCATCGCTACGTTGTCATTTTTTCTACACAAAAACGGGAGAAGAACCGGTCGTTTTTATAATATACTCGTTTACCGCTTTCGTTGTTGGCACAGTTTCGTTGTTCGAACGAGAAATGTTTCGCTTTATTGTGTTAATTTTTTTACTTTGTTCGCCATTCTTGCTTATTTACAAATACAAATAGTCCATTTCTTCTTTTGCTCTTTTCAAAATAGCCCAGAATTTGGCTTAAAAAAGTATTTTCATGCAAAAAACAGTGTTTAACGTTTGTACACACTCCTTGTGATAGCAGCCATGTTGCCAAAATATCACCCGGTTAATGAATAACTTGCGTTACTTTCATTGTATTCGCATTGACCAATCAAATCACGTTCTGAGTTGGATTATCCCCGGACATCTGAGAGCAATAAGCGCAGAAGCCATGGGTACGAGTTTGTGCATGTTCTCAAAATTGCTTGTCCCTCGGCTTTCTTTAAGGTTACAGGATACCCTAGACATGCCTTTCGGGAGATCCGCTATAACTCGATCAATTTTAATTCAAATTCCATCAAATTTTTACCAAATGTAGTTAGATAAATGTAGTATAAGATGTCCTTATCACATATACGAAAGAATAAATACTTATTCAGATATTTGCCGAAGTCTAAAATCGCGGTACTTCTGCGCCGTGAAGTTTGTTAGACGCCGGTTTTACTCAAATCCTATAAAAATATCATTTTTACTCTTCTCAAAGGTTGTTCTAAAAAGCGGTGTTCGCATTTTGTAGTTGCTTTAGGGATTCATGAGTTACGGCATATTCATTCCAGACCTATGCTATATTGCAACTAATTGACAACAAAAAGCTTGTAACTTGCTTATTATTTGAATAAAAAGCTCGCGCGCACACCGTTTTGTAGCCGAAATATGTACCTATGCTGTGTGGAATTTTGACAAAAATCGGTTAAAACGCACGCTTAACAAACTTTATTTAGTGCGTATATTCGACTTAAAATTCAAGTGCCTCAAAAAGCGCTTTGAAAATTTCGCGGGTTTTCTTTCAGATGTAATCAGGTACTCCGCCTGCTGTGACGTACTGTCATTATAAAGTTAATCCGATGACAGATAACGTTTGCGGCAAGACCACAATATATAATCAAGTCATGCCTAAACGAAAAGAAAAAGCTGAGGCTTAAAATAAGACAAACCAACGCGCCACAAAAAAGCGACAAAAATGCAGATGATGGCGATGTGGACCACAAAGAAAAACTAATGGCAACGATGAAAGATAAAGCCTTAAAGGGTAAGGAAACTTCGTTTATCGCATTTTGATCTGACGATATTTTGCTAGTTGACGTCAGAAAGCCATGCATTTGTTCTCTCTCTTCAGTTGCGATGGAACAAACTTTATCAAGAATATTGAGGCTGGTGTTGAAGATCGGCTAAAGAAGCGTGGTAAACCTCCTAGAATTATACGGCATTTTTCTATTGTGGATGGGCACACGCGTTATATACATAATTGCACCTGGTTCATTGGATTTTTGCACAATTTGCGTTTTTAGTACGCCGCGCATCGTAATGTTTTTGGAAATAAAAGGCTTTATTGCAAAATGTCATTACATTTTCGTTCATTTATAGAAACAGGGAATCGGTCCCAAGGATGCGGCTTATGCATGGATATACTGTCGAAGTACTAAATTTCCTGAGCGATATCACGGTGATGTAAAAGGAGAGATAAGAGAAGTGAGTTGATATTCTGTACGCAAAGCCAAAGGCCACTATAAAAGCCGCGCAGGGAAGGAAAGGGCTAATTCTAATAAAGCTTTTCCAGTTTTCCGGTTAGTCGTGCACTTGTGGCTAAATTAGTAAATATGGCAAAAGTCGCCAAATCAGTGTTTTTATTCTGCTTCTAGGATGCTTACAATATTGAGCTGGACATCTTTTGTGAAGCTTTGAAGATCCCGAAGTTGTGTGTAGACTATTATAGTGTTAGTTAAATATGACTATAATAATTAAGTTTAAAAATATATGTTTTAAAAGGCATTGTTATATTATGATAAACATACTCATGTAAATATACTTACATATTATATTCTATAATTATGCTAGTAAATATTAGGCAAACTGTTCTAAATTATGGCCTTTATGGGTATTGATTCATCTCTATACAGAATGGTTTTAGGGTCACTTTCTGCCAGTGATTTCTTTCTCTCCTCCGGTGAACAAATTGTCGGTCTTGGGTTTGAGTTTCTTCCGACGGCCGCAAAAAGGGGTTTTATTGCTTTTGCCAGATCAGCTTTTATTCGCGGCATTTTTTCAGCAGAGATTTCAGTGCAAGAGAACGTCTGTACATCTGTACAACCGCATGTTGTGATAACGGAATACGAGATGACATATACACTAATTGAATTGCACAATGTGTCGATTTTCTGTCAAACACATTTCCCGCCAAACATATAGACTTCAATTGCGTTTTACTAAATAACGTGTTTAATTTTAAAGATACTGATTTACATTTTTTTCCAGACGACAGGTATGCTAAAAAGCAACAAGAACATGTAAAGAAAAAAAAAATTAAAATTTTTACGTTCTAGGGCGTCCTGTAACCTTAAGGCTGATACTTTTAAATCAGCTTACATTCTTATACTAGGAGATACTTTAATATATGTATATATACATTAACGAAATAACTATGAACTACCGCATGTATATATGAAAAACTTTAAAATGTAAAAATGTACAATAACAGAGTTATGCCAAAATTGTACTTATGCCCTATTTATGATGCAGTTAATGCAGCACTTTTAAAAGCGTTGATATTCGTATAGGCAGTTCGTTAAAAGGAAGATAATTTTAGGTTAAAATAGAAACTGATATTCGTGTAGGCAGTTCGTTGAAAGAAATGTTGTTTCAGAAACTACCTGAAAGGGATCCTCATGGTGATTTGGAAGTCGGGATTTCCTTATTAGAGGGCACGCCTTATGGGGGAAGTTTACTAAATCAACGCAGCCTTGGTGGGTCTTGTAGAACATACATACATGATCGACTGGTTATAAACAGTCCATACGCCGTTCAAGTATGTCCCATCCTAAATCGTTGATCAATGAAGAAACTTCAAACATGCATGCATGGCTGTTTCTAGAAAAGTCGTTGTTGACAAATCTTGCGTCCCGATGTAGAATTATTTCAATCTTCTCAAAATTCCGTTAAGTATGAGAGTTCAAACCAAACTAGTGTATTCAAGCTTAGGGCGGACTAGGCTGATATAGGCTCTATAGATTTAACTGTACGAGAGCAGCTACCTAAGATGTGTTTAAGGAAGCCAAGGGTGCAATTATGATTTTTATAAATATTGCTATTAGTTCGTTCATGTAGATGGAGCGTGCCTACACGTAAACTTATACATTCCATTCTTTTTTCAGTTCACTTTGCAAAGTATACAATAAACCTGATAGACAAACATTTCACTGTCAGTGTTCGTTCTTAACGGCGGAAAGGATCTTATACACATAATTCCTTTTAAATACGTTCTGGACATTATAATTAGGGCTTGCAAAGAATTAAATTAAAATGCGCAGATTTCGGATAACGAAAATGAATAACATAAGTTCTATAAATATTATAACATGCAGGGTGTCTGTATGCAAAATAGCTGCAATTTATTCAAACAGCAAATTGAAAATATTTAAAGCGGGTATTTGCAAACTGCTGCCAACGTTCTTCTAGATTTCTCCCTGCAAAACTAGCACGTTAAGCTTGCATCGTTCTTCACCTAATTTGTAAATGCGAAATGAAGTATTTTAATCAATCTATATCAGTATTATACCAGCGTACATTGAGAAAACTGAGCATTGTACACTTTCTAAAAATGTTTAAAAAAGCCGGTCCTTGATAAATGCCAATTCGGGACGAAAACGTAAATCGCCGAGCGTTAAAGAGCTTTACAAGGTGTTGAGGTGTTGAGAACATCAAAAACTTGTGCAATTTAGTTCTATACGATGTCAACAGCTACACATCAAAGTCAATCATCAAATATAAATCGATATCCTGAACTAAAACTATCGTGGTCTGGTGATTATGAATCGCTGAAATTGTTTGTTGATAGCGAATTAAATTTCGAAGGAACATGGTCATCGATCGGTGGGGAGAAAAAGTTGTTTAAAAGCAACAACGTTGATATCCATTGGTGGGCTAAAAAGAAGTTTCTTAGGATAGAGGGAAAGCAGGCAAGTGAAGTCAAACGTTCAATTCTGATGTTGATTCTGCATGACATTGGTTCTGACGACCATAATATTCGCTCGTCTCATAACATGTGTAAATGCCCTGAAGTCAGTTCTGATATCGAAGGCGTTAAATTGGATGTCACTATCTTGGAATCAACAGTGAAACAACAGGCAAATACGCTTGTTAGAATGCAGGAAACCTTGGCGAAATTAGAAGCATCGACAACCGATGCAAAATCTATACCGTTGGATCAACTAAGTAAATCTCCCAATAATACATCGGCTGAATGTGTTGTACAATGTACGAATTATAATAGCCCCATTGCGTCTGTGATTACACCTACTCGCTTGTATTTCTCGGACGAACCTGAGCAGAATAATACGGACAATATAATCGAAAAGCAGAATAATACGGACAGTATAGTCGAAACCTTAGTAGGACAGTATAGTCGAAACCTTAGTAGGAAAGTATTTGCCTAGTAGTCATTCCAAGTCAAATTTTAAGAGTTGTTCAAATAATACACCAATTTTAAAGAACCCATGTCATGATCTGCACCACAATCCACAAGTCATTCAGGATCAATTAAATACTAGCCAAATAATTGAGAAGGAATGTGTGGAGATTTGTCAATCTAATATTAACAAAAGATACTTACACTACCATGGCAAACATAATGAAAGTAGTCCCCATTGTCTAGATCTCACAGTAATTAATCCCAGTAATAGTGGAATTATTACAGATGATACAACTCCTATGAATAATTATCAATCTATCCCAACCCGTATCACCCAGCGAAAACCATCTAGGAAACATAATAAACGTAACAAAAATTCGGGAAAGGATTTTCGTGCACGTACAATGTTGAGAGACAAAATAAACTTTTACAAATATTATTATTAGACGAGGCCGGGGGTAAGTCGTCTTCCGGGATGGAAAGAGAATTGGAAAGCTTACTTGAACATTGTTTATATAATAATAACCAGGAAAATGTCAACCCAAACCTCATCTGTCGTAAGATAATCAAGTCAAGCAATTTAATTCATGTATCTGTGAACCCCGAAGTTAATAGTAAAACCGTGTCTTGTTCGTCGCATTTTGTACCTGCTATATTATTGTCAAACACTATGTCGCTAGCCCCGAAAATCGATGAAATTTCTGTATTTCTTGCTTCGAATCATATAGATATTGCCTTTTTCAGCGAAACATGGTTAAAAGGATCCGTTCCAGATGAAGCTATTAATATTACAAATTACCAATTATTCAGGCGTGATCGTCAACACAAATCCCATGGTGGGGTTTGTTTTTATATTAACAATACCATTTCTTGCAACCGCCTAACGGAGTTAGATAGTGATAATCACGAAGTATTGTGGCTAGCTTTACAACCAAAACGACTCCCACGAAATTACTTAAATATGATAATAGCTGTTGTGTACCACCCTCCAGATGCCGATTGTACAAGTATGCGTGACTATGTCCAATCTTCATTAGAATATATTGAATCTTCAATTCCTAACCCTGCAATCATTATTGCCGGTGATTTCAACAAATTGGACTTACAGGCTACTGTTAAACCTTTTCAACTAAAACCAGTAATTGATTTTCCCACCAGAGGTGCCAATATTCTTGATCAAATTTATACCAATCTATTTGAATACTATTCACCTCCTACTGGTGCTCCTCCGTTTGGCTTATCAGACCATCTAACAATTGCCATGTGTCCTGGAGCGAGGAAAAGATCGCACGAACCACAATCGCGTATTGTTAAAACAAGAGATAAGCGACCCAGTAATATTAGAAGTCTTGGTCGATTTCTCCAGGAAATTCCATGGGACATTTTATCGTCCATACCCTCAAATGATCAAAAACTATACTTTTTAACTAGCATTATAAACTATGGTTTGAACTTAATTATGCCTGAACGTTCAATAAAAGTCCACCCTAATGATCGACCATGGGTTAATAGCAATCTGAAATCACTGATAAATCGTCGACAAAAAGCCTTTGCATCTGATAATGTCACTCTTTTTAAAATGTTACGTAATAAAGTTAATCGTGAACGAAAACGTTGTCGTAAGAGCTATTATCAATCTAAAGTTCATAATTTACGTAACACTAACCCCCGAGATTGGTGGCGGGAAGTGAAGCAGTTGTGTGGCACATCTAAACATAACAACACAAGTGTAAAAGACCGCCTCCATCAAGATTTATGGCAGGAGACAGACATAAACCTCAATAATAAAATTAACAATGTTTTTATAAATGTGATACAGAACTATGTTCCATTATCTGAAGATACGGCTGTAATTGTACACAACGATGAAACGCCTATTATTGTGACCGAGTCAATTATAGCTAGAAAATTGCAAGAAATTAGTACATCGCGTTCCAGTGGCCCTGACGGTATTTCCAATTGGGTTTTAAAAACCTATTCGGATATTCTCGCCTCACCAGTTGCAAATATAATCAATTCTTCCTTTCAAAGTTGTAAAGTCTCTCAAATTTGGAAGCTGGCTGATGTGGTCCCCTTACCAAAACATCTACTGTCAAAGACTTGGAAAGGGAATTACGACCTATTTCCTTAACTTCCACCCTATCAAAGATAGCGGAACGTCTTGTAATCGAAAGAGAAGTAAAGCCAACTTTGTTAAAGGTTGTTGATCCCCAACAATTTGGCTTTATTCCAAATTCTTCCACTGTACTTGCCTTGATATCGATGCTCCATTGTTAGTTGAGTGCAACAGATGGAAGTGGTTCGTCTGTTCGTACTGTATTTCTTGATTATAAAAAAGCATTTGACATGGTGGATCACACCACATTAGTTGCAAAATTATTCAGCCTTGGTATTAAGCCCTGTGTGGTTAACTGGATTATTCACTTTTTACGTAATAGATGGCAAAGGGTCAAACTAAGTGATAATTGTTTCTCAGACTGGCTCCAAGTTCCAGCTGGTGTCCCTCAAGGCACACGACTTGGGCCTTGGCTATTCTTAGCCATGATAAATGACCTTGTGTTACAAAATCACCTTTCAGAAATGTGGAAATTTGCCGATGATACTACGGTCTCTGAAATTGTTGAAAAAAACGAACAAAGTACTTCACAAATGGATATCGATGATATTACTACTTGGTCTATGAACAATTCCTTTCAACTAAACCCATTTAAATGCAAAGAAATGGTAATATCCTTTTCACGATTACCACCTGGTTTTGAACCTATACGTATTGGTGACCGAAATTTGGAAAGAGTGACAAGTATCAAATCGCTTGGAGTTATATTAAGAAATGACCTTAAATGGATAGACCATGTAAATTCAATTGTCTCCAAAGCAGCTAAACGTTTATATTTGTTGAGGCAACTCAAACGTGCTGATGTCGCTTCGGCAGATTTGGTCAAATTTTTTTGCAGCTGTATAAGGTCTGTCCTCGAATATGCGTGCCAATTATTCTATAGTTCCCTGCCACGAAATCTTGCAAAAAACATTGAACGTATACAGAAGCGAGCAATGAAAATAATATTCTATGAATTGTCTTACGACGAGGCTCTTAACATCGCTGGTATTTCTACTCTTGAAAACAGACGGGAGTATCTATCCAATAATCTCTTCAACGACATTGTTTTAAATGATGATCATAAACTTGCCAAACTTTTACCATCCAAAGCAAGCAATAGAGAATTACGAAAAGAAAGATCTTTTGAAGTTTCACCAGCAAGTACAAATCGTTTCGGAAACTCTTTTATCAACTTTTATGCTAAGAAACATTACAAATCAGATGTTCCTTGAACATTTTAGAATTTTTAACTCATATAGATTAGTACATTTAAGTATATGATATATAGTATATATTAACAATTTCTAAATTGCATTGTAATATAGAATTTTTTACTATTTATAACCTTGTAACACTTAACGTCATGTAATTCAGTCTTCTGACTGCCAGATGATGTTTTTATTAAACAAACTATTCATTCAATTAATACAAGATTTGGAATGCCTTTCAGGCATGCAAGCTAGCCATCTATACGTTGTCAAAATGCATCGGCATGGATGAAGAGTCTAAAAGTTGAATAATTGGAAACTGATAAACAATGCAATGTCATTTAATTGTTTCTTCAATAGCTATAATAATAAAGTCTTCTGCTAAAAACAACAGTTCTTCTTCGTAAATTCTCAGAGCCGCCATCTTTATTTCTGACAAGACGAAGAAGTCGCAGAAGAACCGGACTCAAAAAACGTAATGTCGCGAACTCAACCGATTGCGCCAATGAGAGGTACCGGTAGTGGTAGTCAAATCTGAACCTCGCTATTAACATCCATGATATCGATAATCTGTGCTTCAAATCATTAAGACCCGAATGGCCCTCCTCAAAAAAATGTTCATATAAATGTTGACCACATAAACCTCTTTAGCCCTTAGAAAATCTATTAAGCGAAGTCTTGTGGTTATTAAATCTAAGACGAAATGACGTTACCGAATTGCCCACGTATTTTTTACTACATTTTCCGCAAGTAACTAAATATACCACCCCCTGAGAGTTACTAGTCTCCTACGCATACCTATACTTAGCGGGCTGTGCCCTCACGTAAGGTATGCTTACTTTGGCCAAGAATTCCTTTCCTCAAAATTAACCAATCACAGCTTTACCCACGAAAATTGTGGGGCTTGACCTTTTACCTTGAGGCTTTGGTCGTCAAAAGCTTCAAAACATGTACTGTAATCTTGAACATTTCATATCTTCATTTGTACGTATTCGTATCTTAAACCGATTATGTAGCTGCCAGAGCTGAGAGATATATTTGTTATACATATACCAGTTTACAAATTTACAATATGGAACAATTGTAAAATCTGTTAGAATTTGTCGAGCTTTTGTTTTTAACAGACAGTGTAGTAAAATCGAACAATATCACCTAAAATATTTCGCGATGTTTTGATTACAAACAAGCGTTTGCAGGTGTTACTGTAACACAAGTAATATACTGGACAAATACGTCAAGACAAAGTTATAAAGTTACAGTACAGTGTACACTACTGCGTGTGTAGATAATGGATTTATAAATACTAATTGAAGATTACACAATTTAGCTATATAAAATACTGAATTGATTCGCTGCATATTTCGGTTTCTAAGTTTGTATATGACTAGCCAGTTTATAAGTTTAATAAAATCGTAATTACAAAATTAAAGTCGCTCTGATATTGAACGTTCGGAAACTTATAGTATATATGAATATACATGCCGTCACGCAGTCGCGTCAAGTTCAAAACAAGTATTACCATGACTCATGAGTGAACAGTTTTATGTACATTTAAGCCTTCGACCTATCGCGTACACTTTACAGTTGACATTCAAAGTGGGCTGTCTAGTGTATTTGAATGCTAATGATACAATGGAAGGCGAATTGCTAGCCATATATATATATATCATAACACTGCATGCTACGTGTGCAAGCAAATTCTAAATTTAATTAAAAAAA